AGCAAGAGTCGCCACTGTCTTTTATTTTATCCAACAAGGAAAGGACAAAAGCACAGAAAAATTCCTTTTTGAGATATTTCTCGGGTTCGGGAGGTAGATTATAGAAAGGGAAGGTGTTAGTACCCTTTCTATCCATGGTTATCCACGGGCTCCTAGGTACTTGCTCATTATGTTTTCAAAAGTTTGCTTTTCTTTGTGATTGTGGGTTTGAAAGAGTTTTGTTTTCGAAGAGAGTGTAAGTGCGAAAAGTTTTGTTTTGTTTTTAAAAGGAGCAAGTACTTAAGAACATCTACCTACTCAAAAAGGAATTAGACTGTGCAAATATCCTTTAGACAATGTTATCCCACTATTGAGGAGTAGGAAGCATCGTTGTTGGAGTCTTTGGGTCAATTCGATTAAGGGACGTGTGGTCATTAAAGCAATGTTAGGACACCGTAGCGATAACCCTAATGTCTTAGATCATTTTATCCGAGGCAACCATTTCGAGGCAACTTATGATCTTTGGACAAGAGGACGACCTCTAAAACTTCCTATACTTAATGACCACGTTCGAGGCAACCAAGTGAGGTGTACCCTAAGAGTGGCATGTGCGAGTGGATTGGTTTTCAGTTATATTATCTTTGTACATGTTATGGTGAGCTACTGTTGATTTTAAGTTAAAAATTTGATCTTGTCATGCATTGCCTATTATTCAAACATCTAATAGTTAATGGTTGCGGAAATTAAATTACGGAAAATAAATCTAAGCTATTACAAAGCGTCGGGTATTTACATCGCCAAAGATAAACCCTTTTAAAATTAAATTGCGAAAAGTAAATAAAAGCGGTAAATAAATAAATAAAGTCCTAAGTTAAAAACTATTACATTCCCGAAGCAGTTACAATATTGAAATATGGATCAAAAATAATTCGCGCGCGAGAAAAATTAAATCAGAGTGTCTTAGGGTTTGGACCCTTTTTATTAAATAAAGCATATTTTTGTTATTTTTGAATTAAAAATTAGTCTAAATTAATAATTGAATTAATTAATTAAATGAAAATATTTTTCGGTTTTATTTTAATTAAGGAAATAAAATAAGAATGATTAAAAGATATTAAAAACCCTAATTCTATATTAATTTTAATTTGATGCAAAAGATATTAAAATTGTACCTAATTAAAAAAAATTAAATTAATTAATTGTTATTTACAAAAATAAATAATAAAATTAATGGAATTAATAAAAATATTATTTTTGTTGTTTCTGATTTTTTTATGAAAAAGTTAATTGATTAATTAATTAATTAAGATAATAATAATAATAATAATAATAATAAAATAGAAATAGAAAAATAATGAAAAGAAAAGAAAAAAAGGAACAAACTCAGGGGGGGTGGGCCTGAAGAGGGTATTTGAATGGCAATTCCCAGGTCCAGAACGTCCAGCCTTGTTGGACTTTTGGAATCCAATGCGTGCCTTTGACCAGGGAGTATGATGGGCGTGCAATTTGGGCCCCTGGATCTGATCTGAAATCCATCTGGCAAGTGGATCTTTTGAGGTGCATGATGGACCATCCTTTGAGAATTGCACATGAATACCTGAAGAAAAAACAAATAAAGTGTTTTGGGGGACCTGGGATTCGAACCCAGGTCCCAATGCTCACATGCCAGCGTGCTTAACCACCCAACCAAACTGCTCATTCGTTATAATAATACAAAACAAATAATATATGGAAAAACATTTACTATGCCTGAAAAATAAAAATAAAAATGGCGCGCTGTTTAAACCGGCCAATGGGAAGAGGACGCGTAGTCGTCTTCTTCGTTGAAATAACCAGGTTTTTACCTGCGGATTTTGTCCGCAGCTAAATTCCCAGGTGTGTCCTAGAATTCACCATAGGCCATAGAAATGCAATCCAAAGCCATGGCTGACTTCGTCTCTCCTTCTTGAGTATCCCTATACCAATTATTCGCCTTGGTTTTGCCTGTACACAAAATGCCTAAAAAGAAAGAACAAGAACCCTAGCTCTGGATACGGGGTTATAAGCTATGAAAATGAAATTAAATATTACAGAATCATTAGAAATTGAATGGCCAGTATGAATATACAAGAAAATTGGCAAGAGGATGCAAGAAAATGATTTCACGATGCCATGTTCAGAGCAAGGTTCGTGGAGACTTACAGTGAGTTTTAGGCAATGAAAAGACTTGGTTTTGATTGGTATCACTTCACTGGATGTCAGAGAAGAGAGCTATGTCAAGCTTTTTGTTTGAATTGAGCTCTAAGGTTGTTTTTGATCTCACACTTTTCAAGCTTTTTCACCAACTTGTTCTGGCCGTTTCAGCAGTGTTTTATGTGTATTTTTGGTCTGCCTCTCTTATGTGCATATAATAGAATGTGTTTAGGTCAAAACTTGGGCATTAAACCATATGCATTGAAAAATCAAGATTTGCTTTTGATCACCATAATCAAGTTGCCATATTTGCATCAAATCTGAGATTTTGTGCTTGTTTTGACTTGGCACGAGTTTGATTGAGTATCACATGATATTTTCAAGCTGTAATGATCACAAGAATACCCTTACATCAATTTTTAGATTTTATTTGATTTAATATTGATTAAAAATGAATTAAATCAATAAAAATTAAATAAAATAGAAAAATAAATGAATGGCCATGAAATCAAATATGGGACACGTGTGTGGCATGACAAGACTATATCAAGTGGGAAAAAGTGGGCCCTTTTGTCAAAAATTGGAGTTTTGAGGATAGTTGACTTTTTCCAAATTTGGAAAAATGTCCAACTTCAACAATCCCAAACTTCTTCAATTTTGAACTTTTGGAGGTGTTCTTGGACTTTTTAGAAATCTTGAGATGCCCTCTAATCAACCCTTTTGGTCTCATCGAATTTTGATGTTCCATGCTCATGTTATAAGCTTTGGAAAAAATGTGTTTTTGTTGACTTTCAAAAATGACTTATAATGTCCAAATTTGTAACTTTTTGTGAGAGCATTTCTTGATATTGGAGTGTGAAGATGGATTGTAGGAAATTGCATCCTCTTCAAAATGAGCTTTGGATGGATCATTTCTCATAAAGTATGAGAAAGTTATGCTTGGTCAAAGTTGAGTTGACTTTTCCTACAAAACCCTAATTTAGCAACTTTTGAATCTTGATGAATTTTGAGCAATCCTTGATGAATCATGATCAACCCTTGATAAAATGATGAATTATCCTTCAAAATGAGAATGTTGACAAAAAATATTGAGGTTTGACTGTATTTGGGACATAGTTGACTTTTGCCCTAACACAGTCGATTTTTGGGCCTCTTGAACAATTGACTGACCAAACTTCCTCTGCAAGGCTTGAAATTTGACATGGATGAACTTAAGAACATATTAAGACATTGGGGAGCACTTGAGGTCATTTAGATGCAAGGACCTTGATGCAACACAAAACCCTAATTTTGAGGTTGACTGCCTTAGGAGGTGATTTGACTGTCCAACCCTTGAGCCAATCTTGAGCAACTTGGAGATTATTCTTGACGTGTCTTGAGAAATATGGGAGGGAAAATTTTGGGGTACAACATCCTCCAACTTCAAACTGTGGGATGCGACCTTCAGCCTCAGACATTCCTGTAGGAAACAAAGTTTAAAAAATTATCAACAAACCTTCAACACAACAATGAACCATAATAAATATTTTGCAATTAAAAAATATAACATATATGCCTCTCCCTGTCATACTCTGTATGCGAGTCATCATACCTTGTGAGTACAGATCGGTCACTAGGTACTCTCGAAAAGGCTCCATCTATGTGAACGGGTGGCTCTATATGAGTATGAGTCGTTGCGTCTGTATCAGTAGGAGTGTTATAAGGCTTCTGAAAGTAGTCTGGGGCATTACAAATATCCTCATAAGGTATGAGAGACACCTCATCAACATCAAGAATTTGCTCAGTCGGCACAGGAACCACCTTAACAGCAACATCCTCAAGAAGTACCTCACCAATAACAGGTATTGATACCTCCACAAGAAGAGGTACCTCCACATCAATAGAAAGTCTAGCAGCTCGGCGTCGGGTTGCCCTAAACTGGCACTGTGCTTGCTTAGCCATCTATTTTCAGTGAGAACCGGTCAGAGCATGTCGTATATCCCGTAGCTGGGTAGCCTCTGTCTCATAAGTCTGACCTGAGCTTCCTCTCTATCGATCAACCTGCCTCCAATTAACTCGTCATTTCCTTGATCTTCACTGGGGAAAAAAAAGAAAAACAACAAAAAAAATAGAGAAGAAGGTACCCGAAATTTTGAAATTTTTGGAAAATTTTGGAAAATTTTGGAATTTTCTCTGAACTTCTCCCGAAATTTTCAACTTTTCAAGTATTCTACTTACTTTTTCTAAAAAAATTCCGGTTTGAATGTGAAATTTTTGGTATCGCCCCAGAGTTTTGTAATTTTCAGTTTGTGACTGTGAATTTAGAAAATAGTGGAAACTTTGAGTAGTGTTATTATGATCTTTTCCTTTGTTTTGGAAAGTGTTAGATACAACTCAAGAGGTGATAAGTTAAATACTCCTATTATAGGGATGGACTCTCTCACATTAGTTATCATGACTTTTACGATAAATCTTCAAAATCTTTTGGCAAATACGATTATAGTGTGGAGACTATTTTTGTTACGAATTAGGTAACATCAACACTCTAAAAAATATGTGTCAGTATTATTATCAATGTCAATCATCTGTAGTGAGACTTGTAATTGTGCATAATTTATAATTTTTTTCAAATTATTATTAGTGTTGTTGTATTTGAGTTTTGATATGCTTAAGGTTGTTTAAATCATATGGAAACATGTCAGAAAATTTCCTAATACTAAAATTAACAAGAGGAAGTTGTTTGGTGAGAAAAGAAAAACTCAAAGAAAAAGCAGCATCCGCCAAGATGGAAACGGGGTTTTGAATGATTGATTGATTTTATTGACTTTGACTGACTTTCCAATAATATATGAAACAAACAACGTTTGGTGATGTCTTTTAAGGCCCTCTTGCTTTGCTTACGCACTTTTTTCTATAATATATTCTTCTTCTCTTCTTACCCGGGGCAAACACAAAACCATCTATATTCTTTTAATATCTCTGCGTTTAACTTCATCATCCATTTTTGTGGTCCACAATCTCTGCAATTTCTAACAGGTTTCTTTCTTTCTCATCTTTCCTAACCAGGAAACTTCTTCTTTTTTTCTTTTACTTTCTTTTCATCCACGCATATTACTATAGTAAAACTATTATTATTATCATCTGTTACTTCACTTTGGTTTCATCCCAATCTTATACTGGTTTCTTGCTTCTAATCTTCTTTTGTCACTTTTTTACTTTCTGGATATATATATGTTTTGTAGTAAAATTTTGTGTATACTTTCTTTATCTAACTAGGGTTGTATGTTCTTAATAGTACCTTATGTGCCTGGTGCTATTGATTTTCTATGTGATTTAACACCGTTTATATTGAAACTTACTTTCAGAAAATAGGATTATGGGTTGCTTTGGCTTCTGCAAAGAGAATGATTCTTATACTACTGCTGACAGAGGAAACTTCATGCAAAACAATCCTACTGGTAATTTATAATCCACTGTCTATTCGCCGTCTTTTTCTTTCTTTACAAAGTCACGATTTGAAACACAGTATTCATAGTTTTTTTATATGTAATATTACCGATTCTTGTACTGAATAATTTTGAACTTGCTTTTTGTTCAAATTGAGATGTTCCGAAAATTGTCATTCTTGATTGTGTTGGCATTACAATTGTGTTTCATTTTGATTCCGGTTTGATACAATGCAGGGAACTCTAGTTATCATGGACGACACACGGCAGTGACCATTCCTCGGCCTATAAATCTCCAACCTATTTCTGTGCCTTATATTACAGTAGATGAATTGAAGTCTGTGACAGATAATTTTGGTACAAAGTCTTTTCTTGGTGAAGGTGCATATGGGAAAGTATATCGCGCCATGTTGAAAACGGGACGGGAAGTTGCGATTAAAAAGTTGGACTCGAGTAAACAGCCAGATCAAGAATTTCTTTCTCAGGTTTGGTCCAATTACAGTTATATTTTTCTGATAAGATAATCAAAGGAACGTCATCTTATGTTTTCATTCGTAACTTAACACAGGTCTCCATCGTTTCAAGGCTAAAGCATGAAAACGTTGTCGAGCTTCTTACTTACTGTGTTGACGGCCCTTTCCGTGCCCTTGCTTATGAGTATGCACCAAATGGATCCCTTCATGACATTCTACATGGTTAGTTATTCCTAACACCATATCACTCTTCATTCACATGAGCGTGTTGTATAAATTTTATCATAATTTTGGATATAGGGCGCAAAGGTGTAAAAGGTTCAGAACCTGGTCAAGTTCTGTCATGGGCTCAAAGAGTTAAAGTCGCAGTTGGAGCAGCTAGAGGACTTGAGTATCTTCATGAAAAGGCAGAAGTTCATATTGTCCATCGTTACATTAAATCTAGTAACATACTTCTATTCGAGGACGACATGGCAAAGATTGCTGATTTTGATCTGTCGAATCAAGCCCCTGATGCAGCAGCGCGTCTTCATTCTACCCGTGTTCTCGGAACCTTTGGTTATCATGCTCCAGAGTAAGTTATTTCTAGATGTAATGACCAACAACCCATTTTAGACTCAATGAGTATAAATTTGACTCCAAGTTGGTTTCTGAGGACTAACAATGACTGGAGTTTTTTTTTCTGTATGACAGATATGCAATGACTGGAAACCTCTCTTCAAAGAGTGATGTTTACAGTTTTGGAGTCATACTGTTGGAACTCTTAACTGGGCGTAAACCTGTCGATCATACACTGCCCCGAGGACAGCAAAGCCTTGTGACATGGGTATGCTATAATTTTCTCTCTCTTTCGGTCAATTGTTCAGTGTAAAACTCTATACACCGTCAATTAATCATAATCATAAGATCTTAAAAAACGTCTGACGTTACTCATAACAAGTTCTAAAATCACACATATGATTGGTTGTGGTATATTGATATCGATGATTGGATTTTTACACAATGTGATTGTTTGTTTATTGGATTTTATCAGGCAGCACCAAGGCTTAGTGAAGATAAGGTGAAGCAGTGTGTTGATGTTAGACTAAAGGGAGAGTACCCATCCAAAGCAGTTGCAAAGATGGCTGCTGTTGCTGCACTGTGTGTTCAATATGAAGCTGAGTTTCGACCAAATATGAGCATCATTGTCAAAGCTTTACAGCCTCTAATGAATAATACTCGTTCTTCTCAATCAAGGGAATCTCGCAACGTGTAAATTCATAAACCAAACCCACCATTTCTTCAATCGTGTTAATGACACGAGTTAAAACAAATAGAGATTATTGAAGTATGTTCATGACAATTGACTTTTGTACTTAGTGTGAAAGTATTGTGTGTAGTATTTATTTTACCTAACATTTGTATTTCAAGACAGCATTACTAAAAAATAGTGATTCATACTTCATAGTCAAGACAACGTTTGTTGAACTTACATTCTACTATATGCCCCGTTTTGCTTCTTCTTTTGTTGAACTTACATACTATATGCCCTGTTTTACTTCTACTTATCTTGTTGGATAGAACAGATAAACTTGTACCAATAAGTGTTTAATTTGTAAGACTAATGAATCATGACTTATAGCTTTTGCTGGTTCAGTTAAAATGATTTTAGCTGAGATTTTAGTCCACTGATAGATTGAAGTTTTAAAAAAAAATAGATTAACAAATCAGGATCAATAATCAAGAAAACTGGGGAAGAACTCATTGTGGTACTGGTACTGTAATAATGAAGAAATTTCTCATTGCAACAATTATAGACAATAATAAGGCACATATTTTGTGTCCTCCTTCACACTTGATATAATTTTCTTATCATCTTACACAAGGAAACATCAATTACTTTACAATCTTAATGAGTGATGAAACAAATAGAAATAAAGAGAAAAAGTATGAATAGCAATGAACTGTACAAATTACAAACTGGTATAAGGGATCAATTTCCTAACATCTACATGATGATCCAAGTTATAGCAACCAAATAGGTATATCACAGAGTAACTCTTATCCAGCTCCATGAATATGATGTAAAATGAGGCAGTTATCGTAACTCGTACAAGCTCGGGCGAAAGAATTCAAAAATGGCACATTCACTTGCACATACGTACCTTAACCCGAAATAGGTAACTTTTCTAGCATTAGAATCGTTGGTTTTACTTCCGTTGATTCCTTCTTCCATTTCTTCCGATGGACTTGGAATCTGGACGATCACTCTTATCTGTATCAGAAGCCTCCTTATGTGTCTCCACGTCAGCATTTGTGGCATTACTCTTCCTGCGTCTTCGATCCTGGAAGACCAGTCACTTCATTTGATTAAAAAAATCAAGTTTCAAGCACATTACAGTTGCAACTTAACTGCTACAAAATGTCGGAAACTCGCAATTTCATATATGTGAATCAGAAGTCAAACCTCTCTAGGTATTGGATATTCTTCAGATTCAAGCATGCGAACGACTTGACTCATATTTGGTCTTTTTTCAGAATCTGGATCAACACACCTCAAAGCGGTCAAAAGGGCTCTTTTAAGGGCACTTGTTGACGGTCTCGTCTCAATGTTTGGGTCCACCACCTCTTCTGCGTGCCTATTACCGACCATCATCTTGAGCCAATCAACCAAATTTACCTACAACAATTACCCAAATGATAGTTATGAGAAGCTGAAAAATCCGAACGCAATATACATAACAACATGTGCATCAAAGTCTCAAATAATTTATTTACAGGTTAAAAAGACACACCTCGGATGGTGAACGGCTATAATCTACTGGATCTCTTCCAGTAATTGCTTCAAGGAGCAGTACACCAAAGCTATAAACATCACTCTTCTCGTTTAGTAAGCCAGAATTGGCATATTCGGGAGCCACATATCTGAAAACGCAAAACAATCCTCAAAAGGAAAACATAAACAAACAAAGTCTTAAATCTGTGGACAGACAGAGAGCTTACCCAAAAGTACCCATAACTCGAGTTGTAATGTGACTTTTTCCGGCACCGAGTAACTTGGCTAGTCCAAAGTCGGATATTTTGGCATTGAACTCATCATCAATTAGAATATTACTTGACTTAATATCTCGATGGACAACTTTTGGCTCGATTGCTTCGTGCAAGTAAGCCAGACTGCATGGAAGATAATCGTAAGATCAGTAAAATGAAACTCACCAAAGTAAAAAGGAACTTTCTACAAAAACGAAGTCAGGGATGTTAACTAAATTTAATGAACGTACGCTTTAGCTGTTCCAAGTAGAATTTTAATCCGAGCCTCCCATGTGAGGTAACCATATTGCCGCATGGCTCCATGAAGCCATTGTTCTAAATTTCCGTTGTTAACATACTCATAAACCAACAACCTGAAATTAACATGGAATCTCCATTGTTGATTCATATATAAGAGAAGAAGAAAAATGAAAAACTGGATATTTTATCGAACCCCAAATAAAATATAGACCAAGACGGTATGGTTACCTGTGAGTTCCTTCGATGCAAAAACCCAAAAGCCTAACCAAGTTCTTGTGCCTAACATGACCAATAGCCTCAACTTCCACTCGAAATTCCTTTTCGGCTTGTCCGCTACACGATAAGCATAAATAAATAGTATTATAATCTAACTACTTGCAAGCATATGCTAATAAAACACGAAACTATAAAAAATCATAAAACAGATTTCAGAACTGAAAATTAAATAGCGGCAATACTCACAGATTATTTAGAAGCTTCTTAATAGCAACAGGATTTCCATTGATCAGCTGACCTTGATAAACAACTCCATATCCTCCTTCGCCGATAATATTGTCTTTTGAAAACTTGTTTGTTGCAAGTTCTAGGTCCCTCAATGTAAACCAGTGTCCCCAACCAAGGTGAGAGAATTCTGGAAGACCAGACAAAGGTGACGGTGAAGTTAAAGAAAGCCTATGTGCAGAAAGGCGCTTAGCACCACTTTCATCACCCGATTGAGAGCCAGCAACGTCTTTCTCGATATGAACAATCGAGCCTGATTGACTGCTATACTCTCCATTCTTTGTTTGGAGCAAAACCTTTTCGGCCTCCTTGTCACTAAACTTGTCGTAAAGACTCATAAACGCGCCATTCTGAGGATGACCATTTGTCGAAACCTGATCAACGCTAATCTCTTTGATCTCTTCGGAAACAGATAACCTATGCATTACGGGAAGCATGCTGCTGATTCTTCTGGATTTCTTTTTCGAAGTAAGACATATTGATATCACTAGAAGAATTACTATAATGAACAAACCAACTATTAACCCCATTAACTCCCATACTTCCAAACCAAGAACAGATGTTTTCTTCGACAAACTCGAACTCAGATCAGATGCCATTTAACCGCCGCCAATATATCTACAGAAATCAGAGTCAAATATAAAAAATCACTTCATCACTTGTAAACAAATAGTAATAGATACAAATCAAAACTTCATTCATTTTGCAAACAAAAAAGATGAGTCCAAAATTAACAAAGCAAGAAACCAATGACCATAATAACAAAGCAAGAACCAAAATCACATAAAAAGAGAGTCTTAATAATAATAATAATAATAATACCTATCAAGAACCAAAATCCCTTCAGCTCCTTTTCAGAACCTGAAAAATCAACTTAAACACTAGATCTCTAAACCATTGAAAAAACAAACCCTGTTGGATGTGAACTCATTATCACACACCAAACTCAAGTCCATAATCAAAACACAATTTTGTATCTGGGTTTTGTGAATCTCTCGAAAGGGTATCTATTTCCAATCTCAAAAAAGAAACTTTTGAAACGAGCAACAACACGAAACACAAAACATGGGGGAAAAAAGAGAATGTGACGGCAAGGAAGGGAAAGTAGAGTGGAGTTGTTGGAGGGAAAAGGAGAAAACATGAGAGGAAGGAAATGATGTTGTTGTGGGATTAATAAACAAGGCATGAGTGGTAGGTGATTGAAGATAGTAAAAAAGAAGCATCAAAATAGAAACTTCCTTTGCTGTTTCTTCAAAATTTCTTCTCTTTATTCTTTGTGATTCTGATGGGATGCGTGCTTTTTCGCTTTTCATTTTTTTTTTCTTTCAATTCCTATGTGTGACGGTGACAGACAAACAGATGCTTCATTGGCATTTGACATTTATGTTTTTTTTTTTTTTGTGAATGATTTATTAGTTAATTTATATCATTATAGAATGATTTTAGTATTTCTAAGAGCATTTAATGATATGCTATGAGATTTCTTTTATAAATTTTGAATGAGAGTATTAAGACTTTCACGTTCAATAATATATGGCATAAATATGTTTTTATTAGTGTTGTGTTAAAGTGATTATGCATCTAGTTTTATATCAAATAATGTGAAAAAAAAAAGAGTAAAAAATTATTATAAATAGAAAAAAGAGGATATGGATCAATCATGATCATGTAGTCTGTCAAGTCATACTGTTATTTTTTTTAAAGTTGTGTGACATAATAAATTGATGAGTTTCTATTGAATGACTGTGTAAAATTATTTTAAACTATTAATACATTACTTTTAACTTCTTATAAATATGGAGAGTTAAGTTTGAGTTTATTCACCGTAATATCTTTGTCTTTTTAATGTACATTGAAGAGTTGATATAGTTGTGTGTATAGAGAAGGTTGACCGTTTTTCCTTCTAAAAACTATAACTTAATAATAAAAAAAATTATTGTGAGTTTATTTTATTTTATTTGTATTAAATTTTGAATATTTACTTTGGATACATTCAAAACAGTTAATTTATAATAGACCTATTTTTCATAAACTCTGAAATCTGATATAATAGTATTAGTGTCTTGTAAACATGAATGTGAGAAGTTGGTTGATGAGCGACCACCATTGCAATTGTTGGATTCGAATAAGTGGATTCATTTTTCACTTTATTCGTTTTATCAACACTCGAGGAGCTTGTTTAAGGAGCAAAAGGCTCGTCATATATATTTCAGTAGTTTAGAATGACATGACCATACTTGTCATATAGTTAACAAGTAGTACAACGGCCTGAGCCACTACAACCTCGGCCACAACTGTGACCTCGATTGTACCTTCCTCTCCTTGAGGGTGCTTCGAGTTATTCACTGTGAGCTAGATTTTCATATACATTTGGGAGACTTAGTTCTTAACGAAACTTGTCTAATTGTGCTTCATGTACATACACTAAACCTTCCTCATCTTAGTAGAAATATGGTCAATTTTTCAATGCATTTAAATTACAAATAGATTATACTCTTCAGGCAGACCTTCAAGAATTATCTCAATTTGATCTTGTTTAGTTATGGCATCTTTGACTCCAAGCAGTGAATCAATAAGAGCTTTGGCACATAGCAAACAATCTAATGCGATGTGATTTTCCTTTTTCGTGAACTTGAGTTCAGATCGGAGAAGACGAATTTACACTTTCATCATCATGTTGAAATAGTTGTGAATGTGATCCCATATTTCATATGAATGCTTGCATGCAAGAACCATAGGTAGTACATGTTGGGTCATGAAGGGTCTAGAGATCGTCAACACTTATTTTGAATGAGGTAGGCACCACATATTAACCCAAAACTTTAAAGCATTTAGTTTATGGGTCTTCTCAATTATAAAGTGTTAAACATCCGCTTTCCCGTCTAATATAGGACTTGTGCTCACACTTGATATACCAACAATCTCCCTCTCAAGTGTGGTTCAATTCATTTTTATGGATATGATCCCCCTTAAATGAAAGCTTTTTCATCCATATATGCTTGCATCAACGCTACTTGAATTCAACATAACACCCGCCTGAACACCCTTGTTTGGAAAAATTTCTATACAATGAGCCCTAGACGAACTATGCTCTGATACCAATGTTGAATTATGAGGTTGTCCGGAGATAATCACGTTAATTTTTCTTTTTTTGCAAAACTCACTTTAAATGAGTTGGACACCACATATTAACCTAAAATCTTAAAGCATTGAACATATGGTTCTTCTCACTTATAAAGTGTTCAACATATACTTTTTTCATCTAATGCAGGACTCATACTCGCATTTTATGTACCAACACTATCAAATCAAAGATTGTGAATAATAACTAAATGAAAAGTGATTGATAATGAATGATCCAAGTTTCAAACTCAATTGAGACCAAATCATTTCGACGATCAAGATTTGTGTTATGACACCACCAGATGATGAAGGGCCTGAGGAAATAATTGAAGACTTAAGTGAAGAGGAAAACTAAGTCTCTAGATATAGGGCCAAGAGAAATAAAAATAAGCCCAAACATTTTGAGGACTATGTGATGGGGAAAAAATATAAGAAAGGGGTAAGAAGTAGTAAGTATTAGAATATTCTCTAGCTATACTCTAAGATTATATGCTGAGTCATAAGAGTTAAAGAAGTGCTTTAGACTCTAGTGAAATTTGTACTATTTATTGTATCGTTTGTGCATCAATGAAAGTAAGGAATTTGGATGAAATTAGTTAGTAGTGTTAGCAAATATAATCTAGCATATATCTAGTTTTATCTCATATGTATTCATAACAATTTGGTGCCTCATTGGATATGACTCCACCTCCTTCCATGGAAGAAATCATCGCCACCCTTAACCAATTACTCCTAAGCAAACAATCATTTCAAGCAAGCGCCTCTGTTAACATAAACATCCTCACTTCCGACTTTTAGGATCTCCGAGCATGCATCCCATTATCGGGGTTTTCCTCTCCGCAGAAATCTGACCTAACATCATTTCCGGCTGTATACCCCAAATTTTCCCTATAGATTTCTAACAATTTATTCCCTATTAAAGTTATCACTTTTATAAAGGTTTAGATTATTATCAAGTTATTGTGAGGTTTAAGTTAATAAGAGGGGGTGTATTATTTCAGGATAGACCATAAAAATCTAATGGTCCATTAAGTTGGTTCTTACAATTAATAAGGGAGGTGTATTTGTTGGATATGTTTCAGCTCATTTAAAAGTTAATGAATAAAATAGAAAAAGGGGTGTGTTGGCTACCAAAGAGGGGGGTGAGTGGCCCGTTACAATGCTGTCAGGCCCATTTAGAATAAACAAGGGGGGATATTTTATCTTATACAACTGATGGCCCAATATTCATTCTTGTAATATGAGGGGTGCATTTTTTGTCAGATAAGCCCATATCCCTTTTCGAAAGCCCATTTTACTGTCTCGAGCGTTTTTTTGGAAAGTTCTTAAAAGCTGACCCATTTTTTCTTTAGCCCATTTGATTAATACAATTGTCTGGCTAATTATTGCTTTAGTATTATTATTATTATTTCTATTATTATTTTTATTCATTATCATCATTAGAAATAATTATTTTGTTGACTTTTGGGTCAAAATTAGAAAAGAAGCTCTAATTGCTCAGCCAGTGGCGCCCTGTTGTTCTTCTTCATCCTCTACACTAAGTAACCCAAGCCCTCAAACATTCACTGTACATATCTAGAAAGAAAAACACATTTTTTCAAATCAAAATCAAATTTTTCTAAAAAAAGGGCAGAATTGAATAAAACTACAACTAAATCAAATATAACCTAATCATATCAAATTCTTTCCATTATAGTACAAATTATCCAAAAATTACAAAAATACATAATCAATCACATATCTAAAATCTCTAATTTACAACAAAGTCTCCTAATTGCTAACAAAATCAATTTACCCTAGTCAACTAAATTCTAACGACAATCATAAAAACTTCCTAATTTGTTCTCTAATCTACACTATATAAACCCTATAATCTAAGACCTAAGGAGGGGGGAAGAAATTTGGACGAACAAGTTGACATAGAAGCAGAAAGAAGAAGAAAAGAAGTTTAGGGTTTCTATATCTTGAACCCTAAAGTTCTTCTCCGCGCCGCCACTACACTACCATTCATCGTCGTCGCCTGCGAAACAAAAAAGGAAGAAACTAGATAGGAGAATCAAAAAACTAGAAATCAGGAATCACAACAAGGAGAGGTAAGCCTGAAACCACTTAGCTCTTAGGGTTTGATTGCACGTTGATTGATGTTAACTGTATGATTGGGGTTTAATATGGGGTTCCTAGGGTTAGGTTAGGGTTATGGTTCTTAGGTTTGGGGTTAGGGTTTTTCTAGTTAGGGTTAGGGTTCATCGTTGTTGTGTGTTCTGGGTTTTGGTTTGATTAGGGTTCTTCGTGAACCCTTATGGTTCTTAGGGTTCCACCTAGGGTTCATACCATTTTCTGGAAATTGTTTGAATGTATGAAGGTTCCGGTTAAATGTCAACCGGAAATCTGGAGGTAAAGGGTGGTTGGTGGTGACCTACGGTGGTGACCATCGGTGGAAGCAATACGCGTTTGTGTTTTTTGTGTGAGGAGGGAGGGAAAGAAAGAAAAAATGGGCCCCTAGCCCAGTAGCAAATTTTTATATACCTCCATTGATCTGATACACGCATTCCCAGCGTCTTTACCATGCGCTTCCCATCACAACCCTTGAATTAACATCAGACGTCCCAAGAGCGTGCGACCATCGTAATTCCATGGTCTCTCTCACACCTCGCCTATTGGATCAAATACGTTTTGGGCTTAACCCATTACTAAACTCACCCTCTGTTTTGCTACGCCAACGTAATTCTCACCCCCCAACGCTACTGAGACCAGATCAATATCTGAACTTGGGCCCTTGCTCCCTGAACCCCCCATTCTTGCTGGGTTGCACATATCAACACCTCCTCTGTGTTTTTGGGCCTGAATTCAATATCTGAAGTCAGGGCCCTGCTTTTTATACCCCTCTTAATTATTAGCTAAACATAAAATACACCCCCTGCATTTTTATTAATTTTTTATTTTTATACATTATTTATTTTTATATTATAATTAATATTTTTATAATTTAATATATTTATAAATTCTAAAATTATTTTACTATTATTATAAAAATCAAATGTTTATTTTTTTCTAATCCATGCAAATATTTTTATTGCATTAAAATTATTTCTCTTCATGCATTAACAAGATTTTTATATATTAATACATTTAAAAAATACCTAACCAACACTAAATCTTTTTGTAGTAACTTAATTAACTCATAACTATTTTCAAAAAGGATTATGAAGATGCTTTAATCGACTGTGAACTTCG